TGCTAGATGTGTACAGCAGATCTCAGACGGCAAAGCAGCAGTAAGGCGTGATTTCAAAATAAAGAAGAAAAGATCGTTTGTGTATCGTGGTATCGAGAGCATATCATTGCTGAGGTCGTAAGAAGAACTGTTTGAGTAACCCCAGGGTATGAATTTGAGAAGACGGTAAAAGACAGTTGTGAGCTCCTGCTTCCTGCGGCAGAGTCTGCTGTTTATTATTTGAGTCAGTGTTACTTTAGGCATTTTACTGCATTTGTGGAGATGATGCTGTAGTAGTGCTAAAGGTTGTGATTTTACCATCACTATCTCCGTCATAAATCTTATAGAGCCGAAAGAGTTATCCCTCGGGGCATGAGGAAGAAATTAGATGACGATGGGGCCACCAAAATGATACGGATGGCACGAATCTATCATTGAGAAGCACTGTGTGCGAGGAGCGGGCAGCTATTCTTAGGGGTCCAACAGATCCTTTGGAGCACTTGTAATAGAAAAATCAATCTTACTACGTGGTGATAAGGGCCAACCACGTTTGTTACCCCCATTAAGGAAATGACTTATGATATTGACTTGGTTCGCGAAATCAAGTATAGCGTCACATGGCATGAACCTTACCAATAAACAATGTGGCGCCCTTGAAGCATTTACATACGTGAAGCACAAATCGTTTTGGCAAGCGTCAATACAGTTTCTCACTAAACGCCGATTTTCTCTGACAGAAAGACTTATGATCAGTAGCGAAATGCGCATGCTTAAATACGCTAAATGCAGTCATGTTTCCGGCGCAAACATCAATTCTAAATAATAATATATACTAGAACAGCATGGCTGGTTACACTTTGCACAGTGCCCCTGTCCTGGCTGATAAATTTTATCAAATGCGGTTGAAAGACAGCGATATCCCTCTCACTGCGGTTAATACTCCGAGCGGATTGCTTAGGAGTGGTTGGTGATGCCACAAATATTTTTTGGATCGTCGGAAACAACTGTTCGGGAAAATCTGGAGCCATCCACGAATTTATTATGACGTTGTACTCGTCCATAGTCGTGCAGTGCACGTGTTGTCGGATGTACAGATCTACATCAAACACTCACGGGCGGTTCTCGAGTGTAAGAGCTTCAACAAACAATTTTGCCGGTAGGGACAGGGGGGGTCTTTGGCACCAAAATGAATTCGCTTTGTATGAGCTCTTCCATGAAAAGCAGGATCTGCAAGATTTTTTTGAAAATGATACGATTGTTACAAACTGTATCTCAAATGAACTTAGGGTAGTAATTTGGCCAGGCTTACCTCTCGCAAAAATATAGTGCAAATTATGCTGACACGACACTGTTTCCATAAATCTCCGTGAAATGGTGCTTGGATGCGGCAGAAGAGGTGAATTTGAGGTAATGATAAACTTCTCCTTAGTGCTCCAATTTCGGCAGATCAGTCATATCATGTCGTTTGCGACGCTTACGAATTTGCCAAATGCCTTGATTTGTTCTCATTAAATGCCGGTGGGCAATGACAATGTCATCACATTTGCCATTCGCCAGGCTGAGGTGGAGAAGAGGAAAATCTTGTTTGTGACAAGGAGTCTACTATAAAGTATTGTTGAGTTCATGATGCAACTTCTTGAATCTTAATCCATATGCAACCCATGCGAGAACATGTCACCATATTTCTTGCAGATAAAGGCAGACTATATATACTTTTGATGAAAATTTTGTGAGGTAAGTTCAAGATGGGTCAGCTTAATCTGGCGTCAATTGCGCTTCCCTTGTCGACCAGACTATAAACAGTTGTATGGTACTATGGTGATATCAACAATCAAATAACAATTCGTGACGCGTACGGGTGACAAAACATGTGTTGTGTTGCAAAAAGATTCGAGGGGTCAAAAACTCATATGCTGCTGCTTTATCAAGCACGCAGCTGCAAGTTTATCAAGCACGCAGCTGCAAGTTTATCAAGCACGCAGCTGCAAGTTTACATAGCTATTGCTCATCCCAAGACTTGTTGCTGTACGTGAGCACTGACTCATTTGACTGTATAGCTCATGATGAGGACCTCTAGTACCGAATGCTAAGCGAAACAAATAATAAAGGCCGCCTCACAAGAGATAATTGGGTAGCGCTATGTTTTGATGGCCCAAAAGTAAAATGGGTAAGCTTATACACACACATTTCAAATAAGTCTACGTTTGATGCCCTTGTCACATACGATGGTGCCCTTCTCCAGCCTGTCTCCTTTGGTATGGTGTTGCCAGTCCATAAGCAAGATATTTAACTGATTAGATTAGAAAGAGTTGTTTGGTTCTGCGATTGTGGTCTTTGTGGATCGCCTAAAAAACGGCTCGTCTCGCTGCAATCAGGAACATTACTATCACCAACAGGAATATAGCTAAAATGCTTCGACAAGTTTTTCTCCAATATGGCCTGTCATTGACGATCGTTTTGGATCGGGTCTGTGCTTTACAGCAAATATTAAGCTGAAATTGTTTAAGAAGCTGGGAGCCAGGATAATAATGTCAGCCGCTACCATCTGCAAACTGATGGTGAAACAGAGCACGTAAATTATTTTGCGGTGAATATTCCCCGAATATCTTGCGCGAGGAAGCCGCAGTGCTGCAACAAAAGTTTGTCTCATTGACGTTGCGTTGAGAACCGCTGTACATGCCTCTACAAGGCTTACCTCATATCATATATATGGTATATAAATTCCCGCTTTCTGGTGATACCACTACAAATTGGCTCAACCCTTTTTGGGAAAGTAGCTACCACATGCAACTCGACTTGTTGACATTAGCTCAACTACACTCCTTCGCATAATTGATAAAACATTATAAGGAATGAGTTACACGCCGAGCGTGCGATGCTTTATTTGGGGACAGGATGCATCGGGGTGTTGTGAATTTTGCACAGAGAAAAAATGACTTTATGTGTACGCTTTAACAAAAGACAGCTGTTGACTTTGCGCGCTCCAAAACAAGAGCTACTACCTCTAGTTAATCTGACTTTTCAGATACACACACATTTAGAGATAATGCGAGTCGGACTGATACTAATTATTTACTTTTTTTATAATATAGTGTCTCCTTTTTATATGTAAATCCTCATTATTTTTCAAAAGGACAACCTAACCGGCTTAGCAGTTCACTCGTACTATGGCTCCCTCTTCTCAAAGGTCCATCATCACCAAAGATGCTGAACCTTTGGTTCTGATATGTATTCAAAATTACACCAAAGTGCGATGAATTTCTCGTACAATTGTACCGAATGTGGTAGAGAAATACAAAAAACTACAACAAATACTCCTCGCCAAGACGTGGACCACGCTGAAGGTCACGTTTAAGACGCTGACCGATCCATCAAAATCTACTGCGCCTGGAACCCCACCCCGCTCTCTGCACCCAATATTCCTGCTATTAAAAGCATACTTGCACCGGAAGTCCACTCCTGTAGACCAAAACGAATGGCACAACGAGCCCTAAGAAAGGCGCGGCTCCACGACTGACGCGCTAAATGATTACGAGCATTTTGACGCCAAAATCATTGCCGCCGCGTCAAACGAAGCCGAAAAATATTTTTGGTTTTGCTTTATTGGGGTTGCCGAATGGTTATTCAATAAATTCTGTCGTAGTGACTTGCTTTGTTGGTTCTAATCTCAGGTCTCTTCTATCACCTGACGACACACGGCCTAAATGTTACCAAGCAGTAGGAATAGCCTTTCCGCTACATGAGCCTTGGACTCCGCAAACTTTTCATCGGCAAAAAATGCTATGATACCACATTGTATCACGTACGAAAACGGGGAGCTCGTCTTCACCAAGCCGGATCTGTTTCAAAAAGCCCAACATTCTTTGCTGCAAGTGCAAGAGTCACGCCGGCTCTCACTTAAAGTTATCCCGCCAGGATTCCAGCTGCGTATCTTTTGTTGTCGCTTGCCGCGCTGGTGCAACCCTTTACAGGTCTATGCGCCAAGGCCTTTCGCTTTCACTAAAAGCAGAAAAAGGCAAGAAAGCTGCTTTGCGAGTGCTTTATGAATCCACAGGTAATCAATCCTGGACCCCAAGTATCGAGCTCACTTTGCACGCTGGGCGCGAAAAACACGCCGTATCACCCGTCCTAAGGCTCTTGCAGTCAACATCAGCGAAGCGCACGTCCGCTTAAAGTGTCGTCATTGGCTTGACTATGCAAAGAAAACATTATACGAACGTCGAGACGACAGCCCATGACCTTCAATTCCTGCTATTTACAGCCCCGCCAGGCCCAGTGGGCTTTCTGTAACAACTACCGTTTAAGATCTTACGAGCACTACACACTAGTGGGAGGGGCGCTGCGGCAAAAAAACGTGTCAATTTTTGGATCGAGCAATAGGTTGTACAGCTACAGGGACGTTACTATGTCTGACTGGTCTGTAAGTGCAAATTGTGGTATGGTTTTGAGAAGCTCACGCAGAATTCAGGATGTGTTCGCATTCACTTTGGGATATTCGGAGTATAAATCGATCTCGTTTTCGTTACGACTGTAAGTGGTCTGATCTAGCATGGTTGCAACTCAATCTGAAACACTGAAGACACTGCATGTGTGGGTGATTTGATTGTATCCGTAGTATCCACCTTTGTCCCACAACATATTCGTTTGAGTATCGTCTGCATCTGGCATGGCACCGGCGCGTTGCTTTGTTTGCCTTGGCTTCAACCATAGCGTTGCGCATGAGCTCAATCTGATTATCTGGTTGAGGAACACCTGCTGAGTTTGCAGCAAATTGCAGCCGGGCTGATATCAATCCTTTATAAAGACTGGAGTCACTTCGAGGCGGTATCAAAGGCACCCGATGCACACCTAACCATTTATGTAAAATCAGGCAAAGCATGTAGCACCATGTGCAATGTAATATAACACAGCCTCATTTATGTGGGAGCATCTCGCTCAAGCACCGCGGGCAATCCGCTCAAGTACTCCGGAGGATATAATCCACAAGGATATTCATGAGTTTCATCTGACCGTCTGCTCAGAGGTTTGCATTTCAATCTGGTGCTATTCTCCTGTATAATGATTATCAAACCTCCGCTTTGAAGCGTGCTCTCCATCAGATACAACGACTATTGGCAAGCCTTGAGTGAAGCACTCTGTCGAGAAATAGTTTGGCTGTATCTCCAACGGTCACATAATCGCTGTCAGCAACGAGACAATTCACAACGACCGCAATACCTCGGTAGACCAAACGTCAAATCTATACTGACGGACCACCAGCACTCAGCCAGTACCGGCAGGCTGGCCAAGCTTGCGGCAACGTTTTGACCCGCTGACCTGGTTTAGTGGTGCGCACGTATGTGTTTGCTCGCTTGTACATGTCATATCATAAGTACCTAGCGCTCACCGAGCAATATTTATTACTGCTATCAATGTGGACACCGGAATAGACATCATGTGTATCGTGTGCTTGCGGTCCTTATGGTGTGATACTAGTGTCATACGTTTTCTGACGCAGTAATACAGCAGCACATGGGAAAAGGGATAGCGGTGCAGGCTTGGAACCGTGTGCTTTCATAAACGCGACATCTGTTTTCGGTCACTTCTTGTTTCTCAAGCTTTCAGCACAACACATGTTGCATCTGACTTGTACGCTGTACGTATCGTCTTATCAATTGTCGGTGTCACCATTGTGATTTGCAACAATTTACGACGCCAGAGCGATCCACCACCATATTAATCCGACCCGGCGTATGCTTTTCCTTTAGGATATACACAGCAAAGAAAGGTTACCGCCTTGCTATTATCTATGATAGATGAGGTGACGATATCGTTGTGTTCAACGACGTATATCACAAACGGCTTTGCGCCAAGCAGGTGCACTTTAGACTTGTGGGGGATTATTTAGTGCAGGAGCTCCTTGACATGAACCGGGTAGCTCATTTCATAGCTTTGTACAGAAAAGAACTAAGCAGTACTAGCGTTCATGCCCAGTTATATTCGCGTGAAACAATGTGGAGCCTATTGTAAAGACTGATACATCACGGACGACGTGAAATGACCAATTTGAATCGAAGAGACAGTATCCGGGCACGCATGAAATCTACTTTTACAGGCTTTTTCCTCGGCATCCCGACAACAATTACGTTCTTTTAAAGAGGTTGATGAGGGGTAGTACCATGTCGACGTAGTCTAAACTTTGCTTGTGCAAGTAATGAGCCGGAACAGCCTTCTCCTTTTTGCTTTATATGATAGAGGCACTAGCTAATCTACGATGGCCTTTTAAGCCATATAACACCTCAAATAATGAGCTTCTCAGTGCTGAACGACACACTTGTCTACATATTTGACGAGTAGCTTATTTAAGCGCAAGCACTTGAGCACTGCTCGCATGTGTTTAACGAGGCTTTTGACACCCGACTGTCCGTGCTCTGCACGACGATTGATAAAAATTTGGTCGGGATAGCTTCGTGGATAGCCACGACGTGGTCTGATCAGCTGCTTACACACTCTTCTCTTCTCTCGATTGAGCTTTACCGGTGAGATTGACGGGTCCTGTGGTATAACCTGCCATTCCTAGAGCCCCCCCCCCCGCTTGGATAAAATGCCGCGATGAGAGCAATTTACTGTCTCTTATCAGCAGTTTCCATTTGATCAAATACACTGAACAAAATGAAGCCGACAACGCAGTTTGGTAAAACGTCCATATTAGGATCAGCGTTTGAGCCGGCCGTATTCAGCTTATTATTAGCATGCACAGCTCGTTCCGTGCCTTTCTCACATATGAAGTCGGTACCGAGTGAGATATTTACTCATTTTTACCATAACCGTTTTGTGTTGATCATGTACGAGAGTTTCAGTGGCGTCACCTTGTGCTTTCGATGGAAGCCATTGGTGCCTGAGCCAGTATTTGGTATGTGGAATAAGTCAATTCCATGTCGCACTCTACTATCAAACGATAACACGCGTTGTGAGTCTCTTGTCCCAACTTCGTGATATTAATGCATCAAAGGATAGAATTACCCAAATGTTCTTTGAAGAAAAAATATTCCACTCCTCAGACCCACTATTTCACGAGTGTCGGCTCCGCGTGGAGCAACAACAAAATCATGGCCACCAATGTACTCGAGCACTCATATTCAATTCGAGCTAATAATGCAATCGTTTTACGACTCGGCCGTTTGATTGTATTAAAGTGCTGCTAAGTGCAACGGGGTAACCGTGCACCTCTCACAAAGAAGACTTTGACTCAAAGAGATCGCGTCAGCAAACACACAGAGTTTAGATCAGCAGATACTACTGAAATTAATGTGAAGTGATACGTTATTCTACACATCGTAATAAATGTGAAATAGTTAGAAGATACAGATTTTATTCCGTTACCAGGATGTGCAGCAGCCACATGCAGATACAAGGATATTATATAGTAGGTGATAATTTTTCAGTAAAACTACCGATGCAGTGTCTGCAGGCTATGAGCTCAAAAAGTCGGGACCCTGAAATTGCAGACCGCTCAAAGACGTGACCCAAAAGAAGTTCAGCTACTCGCTCGATATCCCGAGGAGAATGTAAACATTTCCCTGAAGAGACGACGTGACATCTCGACCACCGCCTGGAGCTGAACATACTTCTGCTTCAAGGTAGTTTTACAGCCCTTGAAACGCACAGGGTCCCTGCAGCGGAGCTACCGTAGCTCTTTGATAAGCGGAAGCTAAGCTAACGTCACCAACCATATGTTCTTTACAAGATTCAGTGCGAGTGCCGCAAATGCCTCCAAGAATTTTTATAATTTTAGCCAAGGTTAATGAACTCTTCCGTTCAAAATTGAAATTGTATTTTATTGTTTTAGTTGCGGCAGAGCTGCCAGTATCGAATCCTAGTTCATATAGTAATACCTAATTTACATAGTAAAACCTAATTAATTTGCATTACTACTGGCAATCCTGCCACGTGGTTGCTTCTTGTTACGGTGTGACCAAGCCACTGTGTGATTACACTATCTTATGACATCCACACCTACGTACGGTCACACAAGATTGTGCGATTCGCCCTTTCATACAGGGTACGTGTAACCCCGGTACACTCTTCCTCATTGAAATTGTGAATATCAACAATTTACATTTAATGTCGCCTCTTACGAGGCTCGCGTTTTTGAGACACTGTCACTTTAAAGATAACCTTCCACACTCTCCGCTTAATGAGCTTTGTGTCTATGACACGCAAAACAACCAGCCTAGCTGGTTCCAAGCATAGGGCGACTATTCTGCGCTCGCATCCACGTTGTGTCTTAGGCCCTCGTGTAGAATATGGCTTCCGCTCGGCAGATCCCGTTACTGACGCGAAAGACGCGGTCGCTCGATCGTTAGGCGTCTACGGAGTCGAACCTCCGGCCACTACACGAGCTGAGCTTGATCAGTGGAACGCTCTGCGAGCTCGCTTTTTGGTATCCAAATGAATCGGTATAGCGCTCGACTTCGAGCTCAAAAAGGAGGTGCTTCTTTTCCAGCAATGCGGACCATCCCTGTGGTGCTCACCTCTGGCGAAACCCTGTAGGTGACGATGAGCCCTTTGAGCGATTGGTGCAGCGGCACCGGAAACTTTCCTTGCTGTCTCCCTAACCGCGAAGCCACAAGGATGTGGACGTAGGTGTTGAGCGCCATCTTAGATTTCAGTTTGCCAAACTCAAGGCTCAACGCCGACATCCTGCGTATTGTCGCCCTGCGACATATGGAAAAATCCATATGGAAAAATCCATAACGCTCTCGCGAGCTCTATGGTTTCTCACACGGATGCGTCTTCGATCACAGCAGCTCAAGGCCATAACTTGAGCTCAGCTCATGGACCTCCAGCTTCCCTGGCTACTGCCGAGAAGCGAGGTGTGCAAGACGACGCGAAGCGTCATGATCCTTTTGATCATAAGCGTCGACGACGTCTAGGTAGTCTTGCCAAAGTGGCACCTCAATCTCCCACGAGTTTTCGGAGTTAGAGTATCCCCGCCACTTCACAAGATATTGGGTTAAACCCCGTCAACGACGTCGACACACAAGGCATTCCACATGGTAGTGGACGCCACCAATCTCATCGAGAAGAGTCGGCGGCGGACAATGACGACCTGATCGATCGCCGCCAGGTGACTCGCGATACCCTTCGAGCGTTGAATGAAAAAGTCCATCGTCATCGACACTGTGCCTGCCGAGCATCTCTCCGAGGTCGCCTACCGCTGTGCGGAAGACTTCGAGAGTCTGGAGCATCTTGTGCACCGACTGCCACGCGTTGGAGATTATCGTGCTATGTCGGAGCAACTCTTAGCCGTCGAGCAGGCGAATACGTCACTCCGCGCGACGGTAGAACGCCTTGCGCGTTTAGAATCGAATGTTATTGCATCCCGCGCTCAGAACCGGTTGCTGGTTCAGCGCTTGGGTGGACGAGCGCTGCTGAGCGCCGCTTCAGCGCCAACGCTTCCGCGTTCACTTGCGCAAAATTCTGGTACGGCTTAAACAAGCCCGCATAAAACACCGGGAGGGAGCGCATCCTTTTCGAAAGGCTCGGCGTATACGCTAGGTCTCGCTTGGCCACAACCCTGAAATGTCCAATAAACCGTGGACGGAGCTGCTTCGCCCACGGCTTCGTCTTAAAGACAGCAGAAACTTCATTTGTAGGAAGGTTTTAAGCATTTATTAAAACTAGATCTCCGTCCTCGATGTTTTCCACATCTCCTCTTCCTTTCCCGTATGCTATTCCTTCTGTATGTCTTGGCTTTCAGCCATCGCATCGTGAACGTGTCGTAAGACACTCAATCTGGTAGACAGGAAGTCTGCGACTTTTTTTACGCACGTTGAGGGGGTTGAAATCAGCTAGCCGTTTGGCTATTCCTCCCCCCACCAATCCCTTAGCCATGGGATGGCGGAGTCAGCGGGACGCAAGCGTGAATCAGCCCGTTTACGTAGAAAGGCGTGTAGCCGGTAGACGAATGCACTGCATTGTTCAGTGCAAACGA